AGAAGATAAAGGATGCTGACAGCACTTCCCCCTCTCTTGTCCTTTCCAGGAGCCGGCTGAAGTTGAGGCAGGAGGGAGAAGGGTTGTCTTTAATGACAGAGGCAATGTCGTATGTTGCCACTTTCTCTTCGCTTTCTTTCCTTCTGAGGCCCACTTCTCAGCCCCCCTGAAGTATGATGGGTTGTGGGGAAGACACACAAATAAAAATGATGTGTCATATCCAGATGGAGACACAGAAAGGTCCCTGTGGGATTTTCTGGGATCTCTCCCCGAGAGACATGAAACTACAAGATCAAAGTGGCCTAGATCCCAGAGTCACCTCGTGGAAGACAGCTGTCTGGGAGGGTCTTCCCACCTCCACTGCACTCTGATGAATCAGAAGTAAAACGTATGCATGGATCACTGAGTTTTTAGGGTCATTTATTATTATGGCAGAAACTTAATGTCCTAATCACTGTATCTTTGTATAAAGATTGATGTGCTATTTCATTGAACTGGACACTTTAAATTATTGAATTTAGATACTGTGTTGTGACTTAAAGTGACTTATAGTCTCTAAGAATAAACAAAAATTCGGAAAAGTTATCCAGTGACAAAGGAAAGAACTAACTATTGAACAAGTTTAAAGGGATACTGGCAAATAAACAAAGTTTGCCTTTTGAATATAACTTCATGGCAAATAGATGGGGGAAAAAATTGAAACAGTGACAGATTTTATTTTCTTGGGTTCTAAAATCACTGTGGATGGTGACTGCAGCCACAAAATTAAAAGATGCTTGCTTCTTGGAAGAAAAACTATGACCAACCTAGACAGCATATTAAAAAGCAGAGACATCACTTTGCCAGCATAGGTCTGTATAGTCAAAGCTATGGTTTTTCTAATTGTCATGCATGTTTGTGAAAGTTGGACCATAAAGAAGGCTGCATGCCAAAGAACTGATGCTTTTGAATTGTGGTGCTGGTGAAGACTCTAGAGACTTCCTTGGACAGCAAGGAGATCAAATCAGTCAATCCTAAAGGAAATCAGTCCTGAATATTCATTGGAAGGAGCGATGCTGAAGCTGAAGCTCCAATACTTTGGCTACGTGATGGGAAGAGCTGACTCACTGGAAAAGAACCTTACACTGGGCAGGATTGAGGGCAGCAGAAGGGATCAGCAGAAGATGAGATGTTTGGCTGGCATCACTGACTCGGTGGACATGAGTTTGAGCAAACTCTGGGAGATAGTTAAGGGCAGAGAAGCCTGGAGTGCTGCCATCCAGGGGGTCACAGAGTTGGACACGGCTTAGCAACTGAACAACAACGTGGGTCCTTTTGACCCAATGCTATGGTTACTCCTGCAATGGAAATAACAACCCTTGCCTCATGTGTAATTTGCCTTGTGTAAACTGCAAACAACTTGGCATATGTCAGATGCTTAATAAAAGTCAGCTTCTTCCTAGGGGAAAGAGTGGGAGAATATGAAAATAGAAATGCAGTCAACAGAACAGGCACCATGGTATGTGGATGAAAAACTTGACTAGCTCTACCCTTCTACTCAATATAGGCCATTTCTAAGGGTCTAATCCCTTCTAAAAATGCTAAAAATAAAAACTAAAATAATTTTAAAAAAATTTTTAAATCAAAGTTTAGGAAAACCTCTAAAGTTTAGAAATAGAAGACTTTCTTAAGAGACTCATGAAAACAGAATCACTACTGGCTAGCTGATCTTAGGCAAAATAGTCAGCCTCTCCAGATTCAGATGTTTCACTTGGGCTAGATGACCTAGGAGGCCCTCTGAGCTCTAACATCCATTCTAGAAATAGACTACTCATGGGAAGAGGGGAGGGGTGGGATGTTCCAACATAACTGTGTACCCCTAGGTGCCTGGGGGGCTTCCTCGGTGGCTTAGACTGTAAAGAATCTGCTTGCAATGAGGGAGATCCAAGTTTCATCCCTGGGTTGAGAAGATCCACTGGAGGAGACCCATTCCAGTATTCTTGCCTGGAGAATCCCCATGGTCAGAGGAACCTGGCAGGCTACAGTCATTGGGGTCGCAAAGAGTCAGACACGACTAAGCGACTAACACCTTGACGTTCTTTCTCTTAGGTGCATGAGGTCAACACATTTGGGAAGGGAAGTTGGGCTGGAGAAATCTATGGCTTTGGGGTCACAAAGAGTCAGACACGACTAAGCGACTAACACCTTGACGTTCTTTCTCTTAGGTGCATGAGGTCAACACATTTGGGAAGGGAAGTTGGGCTGGAGAAATCTATGGCTTTGGGCTCTGGCCATCCAAACCCACGAACACTCTTAATCCTCCAGCCCAAAGTGTTTTCTTATAAAGCCATCAGGAAAGTACATCTCCTTGTAGCTGGCGCTGGCGCAGCCCTCCAATCTCCCCAGGCCTGACCGTAAAGTGGGCTTCGGTTCCACGCTGTGCGTGCAAATATAACACAGATATTTATCCTGCCCATAAAACACTGTGACAAGCTGCCCAGTGGGGCCAGGCCCCATGGTCTTGTAAGGTGAAGACTGGCTACGGCAGGCAGCTCGCACCCTGGGGCCCCACCGAGGAGCCCTGTTCCGAACGGACCCAGCTGTGAGGAGTATTAGCTACAGCTGCAAAGAGCAGATTCTATTACAGGGCTGTGGTGTGTGTGTTTCTTGCTGACTCCTTTTCAAAGAGCTAAATCGATATCAGGCCAACCAGGAGATTTCCAGGGATATAAACTGTGGGGCCAGGTGGGCGCAGGGAGGCTTCTGCCCTATGACCAGCAGAGTGGAGCCCTCCCGGAGGACCCTCATCTGCGCTGGAGTCCGCGCTCACCACGCTGGTGAAAGAAGCAGGAATGTGAGACCGTTCAGCTCTGTTTTGATCACCACCTCCATGTAACATGGATGCTCGAGAGTGGTCTGGCTCACGGTGGTTGGGGTGGGATGAGGGAGGTGCTGTGGCTGTGAGTGGTGAAGGATGAGGCGGGGGCTTCCTGGTGCACACAGCTTGGAGATGACCCTACCCAGGGCTAGGGGAGGGGGCCTGCTCCCTCTTCTCTGACGGGGGGCGCTGCTCAGGGCAGGATTCTCTACTGATGACTGTGGATACCTTTCCAGAGGGCGGCCTACTCAGCAGTGATGTGTGTGTGTGTGTGACTGGGGCGGGGGAGGGGAGGAGGGAGGTTGTTGGGGGGGTAAAGACAACCCACCTTGCAGAAATGAATGGGCTCTAGCCATCTTGTCAGGTCTTGGGGACCACCCCCAGGCACCCCCCCCTCTTTAAACCATTCTCCCAAGTTGCCTGAAGCCCCCACCCATAACTGTAAACCCAGAGTCTGAGGCAACTCTTCACTCACTGTGAGTTGTCAGATCCTTTTATCTTTCATGCACCAGGGGCTGAAACCTCATAGGCAATGCCCGGCAGGGAATCTCTGGAGAAGAGGGAGGACAGAGACGCCCCCAGACCCTGGGTGCCTGCAGGGCCAGGAGGTGCTTTCCCAGGGGCTCAGGGGAGGGAGGCCAGCACCCTTCCCTCACCCCGAGCCCAATGGGGAGGCCCCCTGTGGGGGTGCAAGGCAGCCGCACCCCTGGCACCCCGGTGAGCTTTCAGGTCGTTGGCTCATTTCAGACCCCTGATTGGTGCTCATCCGTGTAACTTGGGGCTCAGACATGGAAGCCGACAGAGACAGGGCCTTGTGGAGGCTGGTGGGGATCCTAGAGAGGGGTTCTGACCCTGTGTTCTTGTTCTGAAGGCTCCTCGCCCTCACCCAGTACCCTCGTCGGAGGTTCTGGCACTACACAGGAGGCCTGGAGGGGCCGCTCGCCCCGCCACTATCCAGTCTCTCTGCTCCCAAGGCAAGGGTGGGAGTGGGCAAGGTGGAGTGTGGGGTGACAGGGGCTAGTGGGGGACTGTGGGGCCAGGGAGGGGGGCTCTCCCAGCCCACATGCTCTGGCGCTGCTGCTGGGACGGGTTCGAACCACTTTGCTCAGGGGAAACAAGGTCACAAACTTCTTGCAGCCAGTGCCCCCTCCCAGGGCAGATTTTACCAGAGTCAATTTGTTATTAATGATGCTCTAAAAGCAGCAAGTTTGTGGCCAGGGGAAATCAATTGGCCAGAAATGTGACAAAAGGGGAAATACTCTACAGCATCTGCATGTCTGAATTATTGATGCTTTCAGTTTGAGGCTTTCAGACAGAAGCGCGGAGCCCACACACAGCACAGGGCTCTCTCTTCCCACCCTGCTCCGCGCTTGGAGCCCAAGAAAGGTTTGCCCTGCACAGAGATGCGATCCCATGGCCTGGCCAGTGAGGTGTCTGGGCCAGGGGAGGGAGGAGTTAGAGGGTGTCCAGTCGCCGGCTCAGGGAGGCCCCACTCTGGCTTGGGGGAGCCACTCAGCTTTGGGGCTCACATCTCTGCATTACCTGAGCGACCCTCTGATGGCTGCTTCCACTATTCTGATAGACCAGGGCTCCTTGTAGAGCCTGCTTTCTTTCTCAGTTTTTGAGGGGCTTGAAATTTCTGGAGCATCATTTGACCTTTACATGGGGGAAAGAAGGAAAAAAAAAATCCTCAGCTACAAACAGAAAACCAAACCTTGTTCTTTTTAATCTAGGAAATATTATCTCTTCAATCCAAGCTTTAAGATTCAGAGCCAACATAAGATACCAATAGTCCCTGAAGGATCTATGAATTCGTTTCTGATGTCTGCTGTGCTCCAAAAACCATTTGTCCACAGGCTCCAGGAATGACAAGGTCTCTGGGGGTCGTCCCCCGCCCCCCTGTCCCCCCCTCACCCTTCTCTGGCTTCCCGAGTCTCTGTTTTCACCAGCTATTGCTGTTGCTCATAGCTCTGTAAATAATCTCATTGCCACGTAAATGCTGACTCCCTCTAAGAGGATCTGGTAAATCCTGATTACGAATTCGTGTCCCTACTTCTAACCGGCTTGCTCACCCCCCTGCCTTGTCCCTGCTGCGTGGAAATGCATGTTAGGAAGCTCAGTTACAGGCTGACAAGTTTAGCAAATGAATGAACACATTTCCTGTCCACAGGGTAGAATTTCACTTGGAAATAGTCCCTGGCCTCGGCCAGGGCATCAGGTCCATGTCCCATTTCAGGACACTTCAAGGGAGCAGAAGGAACAGCTGTTGAGCAGATGAAATGCTACTTGCTGTCAGCACCTTTCCTCAGCGAGCTAACCCGTTCCCTGCCGGGTCACTGCTCTGGGACGCTGTCAGGCATGATCCTGCAGACTTCCACTAGCCGGATTTTCACCCTTTTATCAGCAGCAAATACCAAAAGCGTGGACTCCTTTAGGACTTCTGGCTTCACCTCCCATGAAGAGTAACCACAGACAGGGTGAGTGTGCAGTGGGAGGGAGCGTGGGGGCCTGGGGTGGGGGGTGGGGGAACCTGAGAGGTAGACAGGCCCCCTGAGAGAGGACCCTGGGCAGGAAGCCTGCAGGCAGGGGCCAAGCAGGAGCTGGGAGGCGAGGGAGGAGCCACAGTCTCCTCTGGGGAGTTTCCACAAGGGGAAGGGCTCACAGGCTCAGGTGTCAAAGCCAACAGAAGCAGGGCCAGAGGAGTCAGGTCCCTGGCCGGGGGCCTGCAGGCTCTCCTGAGCTCTGCTGTTCTCGCCTGCCAAGTCTGGCTGCTTCTCTGGGCCTTCTGGGAACGCTAAGCCGCTCTCTCTGCCACCTCGGGTTTCCTTTATGTGAAGCAGGGAGCAAAAAGATCCATAAGAACTAGCTGCCGCCAAGACTCTTGAATCTTTTTCAGCTCTGGCTGGCCTCAGTTTCTCCATGAGGTTCAAGTGTGTGGAGAGAGAGCGGGGTCAATGAAAGGCAGCATTTAAATTCCTCCAGACTGGAGCGCAGGAGCCTGCACAAAGCCATGCTCCCATCAGCCGTGACCTTAGCCAGTGAGGTAACTTGCCTGGAGCGTGATCTGCTGGCCCTTCACTCCGCCTGTGGCTCCCCGAGTCTGTGCTGGTCCTTCCATTTCCAGCACCAAACGCAGCCCCACGTCACTGCTTACCCTGGTGATTTCTGCTGGGTAAGCTGCTGTGTGGCTGGGGCTCAGATGCCCCCAGGGGTGCTCGGGCTGCTGTAAACAATACTGCAATTTGCCTGTAAACTGCCAAAGTGGCAGCTTCCCTGACACCCAGCATCACGCCTCTCACTGCAGCAGCAATAGTGAAAAGAACACAGCCTCCTAGACAACCCCTCACGGCCCCGCTTGCCACGCCTGGATTAGGCCGCCTCCTTAATGGCGATGCCAGCATCTGCCCTGTCAGGTGGGGGCCTGGCCCAGCCACACACAAATCCTGCCGGAGGAGTCTGCATTAGTGGAAGATTCTGGCTGGTCTGACAGTTCGGGGCACAAGCCCACGCTCCATGAAAACAGAGAGGAGTTCGGGACTCCAGTAGGGTGGTGTGGAGTGGAGGCAGTATTGTTATTGTCTCCAGAAATGGGGAGGGGCTTGGGGGCATCATAGTGCAACCTAAGACTTAAGTCTGCCATGGACTGGACTCCCATCTGCCAGGCTCTGTTTATGTAATGTGACTTTGAACAAGGTTCTTAGAGTCTCTGAAATCCCTTTTCTTCACTGTAAAGCAGGAATAGTAAACCCTACCTCACAAACTCGTGAAGATTAAAGATAATGTGTCCACTCCATTATGGATTTTCAATAAATGTTAATTTACCTTTCCGTCCCTCCCAACCCAGTGTGGTGATTCTAAGTGGGGTAACGATACTGAATCAATAGTCTTCCCTCCAATCAGAAGCCTTTTACCTGCTCTATGTCTTTAAACAACCATTAGGAGTCAGCTCACCGACCATCTGCCTGTGCTTGATTGCTGAGTGTTCTATTTTTTGTAGGTGGCTTTTGAGCCTCTGCTTGAACACCTCTAGGGACAGTGATCTCATTAGCTCCCAAGATAGCCCATTATTTTTAGAGAGAGCTGTCTGTTTGAAAGTTCTTTCGATGGTGCCGCAATCACTTACCTGTAATTTTCACCTGTTGGTGTCACTCCCTCCTCTGGAACCACCCGGTCTGATTCAATTCTGATCCCTCTCCTGCTTGGCACGGAGGGTGTCCCATAGAGAGCACAGACATTGCCCATGAGAAGTCTCGGGTCAAGATGAGACAGAGGCAAGGCTGGGAACTGCTGCCTGGCTGTGTGCAATTCTCGTGTCTGCAGAGTATGGAGCTGGGGCTCTCTCAGTGGGGTTCAGCTCCCAGTAAGGTTTCCCCATCACAAGACTCCCTCAGAATCTAGAGGATAGGCAGGTTGGTCCACTTGTACTGAGCTCCCGAGGGTGGCGTGGGGGATACCGCGAACCCTAGTGACCTCCCATGGTGCTGAACTTCCTGCCTGGGGGGCTGCGGGCCCCGGGAGCCGCGGGCACAGGATGGTTTGTCCTGCAGCAGCAGCCTGGCAGGTCCTGCCTCCTCTGTGGTGATCGGGGTCCCTGTGCCCCTGACAGTGTGGCCAGCCAGCAGCCCTCAGAGTTCTTTTATGAAAGTGGAATTTATTTTGCGATGCAATCAGGCCTGTGCTCCATGTGTGCTAGCCAAGTGCTTGGCACCTGGGGCCACTCCGCCATGGGCAGCTGCTTCTCTGAACTCCCTATATCGGAATGTGCTTGAGTAGGGAGGCCTGGGGTTGGGCAGGGTGGTGTCTTGAGCCCCGGGAGCCTGGGTTATCTCAAGTATCGAGGCGGGGCCGCGGGAGGGCGGTGGGAAGAGAGCTCGCTGCAACTGGGAATGCCATCCAGGGCTGAGACAGCCAGTCCTGCAAGAAGGCACAAGGAGGTTGGCAGGGTCCGGGCTAAGATGCAGCATCCATGCGCTATGCCATTTACAGCCAGGCCGTCCTGAGCGCGGAAGGCAGTGTGGTCGGCTTGAAGGCCCTGAGAACAGCTGGCGTTGGTGACCCTGGAGTGTGGCCAGCTCCAAGGCGGAGCCCCTGTGAGCGTCAGGAGGCTGTCCCAGCTCAGAGGTGGGCCCAGCTGTTGCTCGGGTTCCCAGACCTCTGCACCTCCCCTAGTATTTCACCAACCCCCACCCCGGGTGGCTGGCTGGCAGCCCCATGGAAACAGTCTTGTTTGATGAGACGTTACCCCTGGAAGCAGCCTCTGCTGTGGAGCCTTCACCAGCCTCTCTGTGTAGGGGCGGGCACCCTCACGGCCTAGAAATGTCAGTTCTCTTCTACTGGGGTTCCCTCTGCCCGCCCCCTCTTCTGTCTTGGGGAATTTGTGTGTCTGGGTGTGCGCGACGTCTCGTCCTTCTCTCCGAGGTGGGAGTCACTCTGCGCCCCAGGCCTCTGTCTCAGGGCCTTTTGCCCCCTTGTTCTCGCTCTCTGAGTGGAACAGTGGTGTGTTTGAAGGAATCAAAACTGCTCTTGTCACAAATACATGCCCTTAGGCCCACCAGACGCAGGTGCTGAGATGCCCCGACTTCCAGTCCTGTTGTTGTTAAGGACGCTTTTTTTTTTCCTCCAGAAAGACCCTGTCAAAATGCAAATGTTGCTGCTACCCGGAGAGGGTAACACGTGAACTTATTACCATCCATTATCGCCTGAGTGCCGTTTATCAGCTTCCCAGCTGAGACAGGGCCCCCGGGAGAAAGAAGGGTGCCAAGCAGGTAAGGCTTCATACTGGGAAGGGCAGGGAAGGGGTGAGAGAGGAGCCCTGGGCGGGATGGGGGGCCCGGGTGAGCGGGGAGCAGCCAGGAGACAGCGAGAGGCAGGGAGGCCTGTGGGCCCGTCCAGGTGCCACCAGTGGCTGCTCCCTGGAGCTCCGGTGTCCCGGGCATCACCTAATTCTCAGGAGGTGGATAAAGACAGTCCCTTCCAGATTATAAATGGCAATAAAAAAGCTCTGTGGGTGAGTCGGAAATTATCACGTCGCACTTTGCCACAAGTTCTTTTCTTTCTTAACCCTTTGCTTCTTAAACAAATATAGATTATCTCTATTCCCTGGAGACACCAGCGGACAAGAGAGGAAGAAGAAATACACACTGCAGGGCAGGGAAGGGCAGGCCGGGATTAAAGCCCTGCTTCGGTAATCCTCAGAGAGCACGGCCCACACCTATAGTGGATAAGAGCGGGCTTGCTGCCTTAGGCGATGTTCCTAGCAATTCCCCTTGGGGAAGGCAGCCGAAGTCTTCGTTCTTCCTGGCTCTGACAGTCACACCAAATAGGTCCTTTGTGTTTGTTTATTCTGCAAAGAAAAGCAAGGATGGTGCTTCACAGCAGTGACGTCCTTCCAAAGAAAGCAAGCCCTGTACCCACAGGCTTGCTACAGGGCAGGGTGTGGAGGTGGAAAGAGGGGGCTCTCCACCCCAGGGCAGACAGGGGCTGCTTGCCCGTGAGAGTGAGAAGAGCTGGGGGAATTTGGGAACAGTTCAGAGGCAGGAAGGAGGAGGGTGGCGGAGAGGAGTTACAGCGAGAGACTCGGTCATGGTGCCCGGGGGACTGCAGGCTGGTGGCTGGCAGAGGGCTTGGTCAGGGCTCCCAGTGTGTTCTGGTGTATATTTGAGGGTGCGAGAGCTCAGTGACACCCTTCTTTATCTCTGGCCAACTTTCAGTGAAGTCTCTCTCTCACACACACACACGCACACACACACACACACACAGGAGATAGTGTGAGCGGACCGCATTCATGTTGATTAATCCTGTATGGGGCTGAATCCTATATCTCAGTTGATGTGTCATAAGAAGGAGGCAGTAGGTGTGGTCAACAGGATGGCCACAGACCGAACAAATGCAGAGGGGACACTGTTGTGAGTCAGGGGTGACCAGGAGAGCATTAGTCATGTGCGAACTTGATGAAATCTTGGGTGACCTTTGACTTCTGCACACTGTCTAAAATTCTGCTTTCAGGTCCAAGAGACCCCTGCACACAAGATGGAGCAGGATAATATTGGGGGATATCGGCCCATATATTTTTCCAGGCATTTCTTGTATCCTGCCCCCTTCCCCCTTGTGGGAGGTGGCAAACTTGGCATGGAGGGAGTAGTGATAATTCTGAAGGCAAGATTAGTTTTCTGTTTCAAAAGCCCAGCCCTCAGAGCAGGGCAGAGAACCCAGGACAAAATCAGGAGATTTGGAGCAACCTGTGGTCAGAGCCAGTGCATCCGCACCCCAGCACTCTGCTGGGCTGGAGGCTGGAGAAGGAGAGAGAGCTGCTGGTCAGAGCCCTGGGAAGGACACGCTCCCCTCCCTGGGCACCCTCCAGGCTTAGTCCAGAGGTGGGCGTGGGTAACAGCAGAACCTCCAGATCAGTGTGGGGATCCCAAGATTAGAGTCCTTGTGTCTCTTCCAAGTGAGAGGAACGTAGCAATTTCCAGAGTTCTGGGGTGCCTCGCCAGGTGTGGGAGCAGGATTCCCTTCTGTGGCATGTCCAGTCATATGGGGAGGGTCCTCACAAAGCAGAATGCATGGCCTGCTGCTCACAGCTGTTGGCAAGTGGCTCAAAAAAGCTCAGGAACATGGAATGGTTTGTGGCTGAGACAAGGAGGATCCAGCAATGACCCATGTGGCCCGAGGGCTGTAGTCCAGTCGGGACAAGCAGTGTGGGTGGAGGCCAAGCACTGAGAATAGAATTGCTGCCTGCCCTCACCCCATGCCAGGGCCTGGAGAGGCAGCCCCTCCCCAGATTAGAGGCAGGCTCCAGTAAAGTGAAAATGGAGGGCCTGGAATTAATGATGTGAATTTCCTGCCCGAGAATGGAAACTCAGAAACAGAACTCATTTTAGTTAGAGCATAAGTAGTTGCATTTTTGTATAAATGATCCTGTGATGTGAGCTAAGGTTCCTTCTTATCCACAACAGTGTTCGGCTTGGGGAGTTTAGGGTCTCAGCCTGGCCGTGGGAGAAGGCCCAGGGATGATATGATGGCCTGGGGTGGGTATCATAGCGGGTGGGGTCTCCCCTGCTCCATTGTTCCCAGGGGGAGGAGGCAGAAGGCAGGCAAGGAGCCGGTTCCTGAGGTTTGTTTCAAAGCAGCCTGCTCTTTCCTCTCCCACAGAAACCTGCCATTTCAACCCCAGAGTCACACTATCTCTGCAAAATGGATGAAACTGATACAGGCCAGATGTTGAGATTCTCTGAAGGACACAGCGAGCGCCTGACCGCCCCCAGCCGGGCTGCAGGGGGAGTGACTCAGCGGCAGGAGAATGGCCAAACAAAAACAGCGCCGGGGGCGGTCAGAGCCTCCCCAGCGTCAGCAGAGAAAACCTGTCAGTGAGTGATCCCAGAGTGACCCGCAACAGACGCCTCGAGATCCAGGGCTAAAGTCCACCCGGGTGGCCCCGCCTGGCAGGAAGCTGGCCCCACCCTCGGGTGGTGGGTGAGGGGACTGGGGGAAACCCCAGCTTCCCTGAGTTGCCTGCCCTGGAAATTCACAGCAGGGGTCCCTGCCTTGGCTGGTGGTCCACCCAAGCTCAGCCTCTCCTCCTGAGTCCCAGAGCTCCAAGGAGACAGGGTTCCCAGCCTAGTACTTAATCTGCTTCTTGTCTTGCTGAATTCTTTCTGTACTTTTCTGTGATGAGCAAGCAGGTGCCATTTATCCAGAAAGAACTGATCAGTTTACAGTCTTAAACTCCTTTTCTTGGCTTCTCTTGCTTTCCTTCATCTGCCTTTGGGTTTCCGAGGTTCACTGCCTCAGCTCAAGGCTGAAGGGAGATACTTCCGTAAGATGCTTGCTTCTTGGGGTGATTTAGAGGGCTCAGGGTGCCAAGGGATGGAGTGTTTTAGCACCTGTACCCCAGCTATGCCTTGCACCAGACTAGAAGGGATATGGCCATGGCACCCTCCTCTCCAGATCTCCCACTCTCAGAGGTCAAACATTAATCACCTCCTGGAAGCCTGTTGCAGGGTTTGTAATGGAAATGACTCTGTTGTCATGGTAACCCTGGCTGGCCTGGCCAGGGGTCTGCTCAAGGCCTGCCTGGCTCTTCTGGGTTTCAGGTTTATTTTACAAGCTGAGTGCCCCAGCCCGGTAGGTCTCAAGGGGCTCCTTGTGATGAGGGGAAGGCTGTCAGTGACCTAGGCCTAAATTTGTCCTTAGTCAACAATGTGATTCTAAATCTGGTTCACCCAGTCCAGGAAGATGAGACCTTTCACTACACCTCTATCACCCTGAGCATTGATTGGATATGTCCATAAACTGGCAGAATTGGGTATTTGAAAAATCCTGGACTTTGGAGCAGATGCACCTGATTCTGCCAGTTAACAGCTGTGTGTCTTTGGGCAAGTTACTAAAACTTTCTGATCTTCAGATCCTCCTGCCTCTCTAGTCAGGGATAATAATACCTAGTTCACAGTGCAATCCTTAGACTTCAGTAAGATAATCACAGAATGTGAGAGTGACAAGCTTTTTCAATGCAGGGCCAGACAGTAAATATCTTAGGTTTTACAGGCCACAGGATCTCTGTTGCAACTCTTCAATTCTCTTCTTCTGGCACAAAAGCAACCAGTGTCAACAGTTAAGTAAAGGGTGTGTCTGTGTTCCAACAAAACTTCAGAGTCCATCCGCCTCCAGGTGACCCATGGTTGGGTAGTCTGGAAGAAGCACGTATTCAGGGCAGGAGGTGTGTCTGAATGAGTGATTCACATCATGGTCGTGCAGAGGAGGGACTCTGGGGAAGGACAGTCCTGTGGTGACCCAGCTGAGGGCAGGACGAGGAATTCAGGCTGCCGCGGGCTCTGCAGGGCCCTGCGTGTCTCTGGGGACGTGTGTGAGCACCAAGTGACCTATGCGCTGACCTGCTCTTAACCTAGGCCTTCCTCAAAGAGGTTTGCTGAGAATGAGGGAAGGATTCAGGGTACCTAAGCTACTCACAGCACTCTGATTTACACATGCTCCAGGCAGCGGGGTTTTCCTGGCCCCTCTAAGAGTGAAGGGGATTTGAAGCTGTTTTTAATTTCAATTCACAGGTTCCAAACAACCAGAAAGATGCTCATCAGCCTTGTTGAGGCCTCAGCCCACCTCCTTGAGAGACAGGAGGCCGGGTCCTCAGGGCCAGGAGGCTGCGGGCTGTGTGTATCTCTCTTTCCAGGGTGCTGGCTCACTGCTGTGGAGCAGAACCTGCTTTCAGAGCTCAGGCAGTGATTTTCCAGGCTGGAGGCTGATGGGTCAGGCTGCTGGTGTCAGGGCATCATGAGGGAGACAGAGCTTGGTCTGGTCTAGACGAGTGACCATGTGACCACAAGGGAGGTTTTCCCCATCCCGGCCTCAGTTTACCTCTCTGTAAAATTGGCTCCTGCCCTGTGCCCTGCCCGTCTCTGTGAGGCCCAGGGGTGGGGGGTGGTGGCTAGCTGCCCGGGCTGTGGGCACAGGCGGTGCACGACTCCCCGCGAGTTCTATTTCTGTGTTTTCTGCTGATGACTTGGTGTTTTCTAACGACAAGAGCCTAGCAGCTGCTCTTCCCTGCTCACCCCTGCGGCATTCCCGCGCAAGGGAGTGTCTCTAGACTCGCTGACAGCTTTTGGTGCCGTGGGACGCTTTCTTCAGCTCCTAATACCAAAGCCTTACATGTGTATGGCACTTCACAGTTTGCAAAGCAGCTTCAGACACTGGATGGGGCTGATTTCACCTCCATAATGACCCTTGGAGGTTGGCTGGTGGGCAGTGCAGGTCCCAGTTAGGAATGAGGAATCCCAGGGTGGGTTCACCTCGTGCCTCGTCTGTCCGTACCACCAGCGGGGTCAGAGCTGGGACGGGGCTGCTTTACCCCACCCCCGTCCAGGGCCACCGCATCCACGTAACCTCTGCCTCTTCAAAGCTTCTCAGGAAAACTGCTCCCTGTAGACACAAACGCACATGACTGTTCTGCCTTACATCTAGTGGTTCACTCTAACAAAAATATTAAGGAATACTTTGGGGGCTTCCCTGGTGTCTCAGTTGGTAAAGAATCCATCTACAATGCAGGAGACTGCCTACAATACAGGAGACCTGGGTTCGATCCCGGGATCGGGAAGTTCCCCTGGAGGAGGTGACGGCA